CTTCTTTGCTATATTTTTTTTTTGAATTTTGTTTCAAAACGACGTCGTTTTGAGGCATTATAGGAAGCCCCGCAAGAAAGGGTGACAAAGGATCCGGACTAAAAAATAACATGTTAATATCAAGAGGAATGATACATAAATGAAATTTTTGTATAGAATTTTTATACTAAATAATATGGTTTCTTACGATTCATTTATTTTTAATTAAAATATTTATTATTATTCTCATAATTTTAAAAATATTTTTAACACGTTATTTTGAAGCCCTATTTAAAAATTGATTATTTTAATTAATTTCTTGACTTTTGATGAAAAATCGTACAAAAAAATAAAAAGAATAATGTGATTGGATGACTTATCTTGTATAGAACTTTTTTTTCTTTTTAATTTGCAAATCATTTTTTTTTTAACATTAACAGCGTTTCTAGTAACTTTTTGGATTATTTTATCATATTTCTTACTTGCTAAATGAGATTTGCTTTTTTTTTTATTTTTATTTTATTTTATTATTATTATTTTTTATGAGATTATTGTAGTTAGTTTTGTGTTTAGTATATATATATATATATTTTTTTTTAATAATTAGGAAGCCAGACTAATTTATACAATCTTCAGTAATTTTGAATCTTAAAATTAACGATCAGGTAAAGTTCCAGTGACCCCTTGCGGTGACTGAATCTCAAGATTTTAAATATTATCATCAAGTTTTACTGCTTAGCCAACAACTTAGGTTGAGCTTTAGAGATTTATTTATTTATCAATATGCAAAAAGAATGGTACTTGGGTTGACCTGATAATGAGCTGTGTTACCAATAATCACTCTTCCATCCTATGGAATGGAGAAATCATTGATGGGATTCAAAATAGGAGAGGTCTCCGACAAGGAGACCCTCTCTCCCCTTACCTCTTTGTTCTCTGTATGGAAAGATTATCAAATATGATTCGTTGTAAGGTTCATGAGGGCTCTTGGAAAGGACTCAAAGCCTCCAGACATAGCCCATCCTTATCCCACCTGTTTTTTGCTGATGATCTTATTCTTTTTGCTCAAGCTACTTCATCTACTTGTGATATCATCATGAATACCCTTTCTGAGTTTTGCAATGTCTCTGGGTAGAAGGTAAATCTTCTCAAATCCAAACTCTTTGTTTCCCCTAATGTTCCTAGGAATAATGCTAAAGCCCTTAGCTTTCAAAGTGGAATTCCCCTCACCCACAACCTTGGCAAATACCTTGGTTCCCCCCTTCTTCATCAGAGAGTTACCAGACACTTGTTCAATGACATCTTAGATAAGATAAAAACCAAACTCTCAGGTTGGAAAGCTAGAACCCTTAGCCTAGCTGGTAGAGCAACCCTCATACAAGCTGTAACCTCTGCCATACCCACCTATACCATGCAAACCATGGAACTCCCTAGAAAACTTTGTGATGACATTGACAGACTTAATCGAAATTTCCTGTGGGGAGATTCTGACACTCAAAAAAAGGTTCACTTGGTTAATTGGGATAATGTGTGTCAAAGTAAGGCTGAGGGTGGTCTTGGTATCAGGAAAGCTAGAGATCAGATACCACCATCCTAATCAAACTTGGATGGAAAATCTTGAGTGATAATAATAACCTTTGGTGTCAAGTTCTTCACACCAAGTACCTGCACCAACATAACCTTTTTACTTGGCCTATGAAGAAAAACTCTTCTCACTGTTGAAGAAGTATCTGTAAGGTTAGGCACATCCTTAGGAAGGGAATTAAATGGATTGTTGGGGATGGGAAGAACATATCCCTCTGGACTGATTGGTGGTGTGGTTCTCAACCTCTATCCCAACAGAATAGCAGATACCCGGTTGATGACTCTGTCAAGGTTAGCTCCATTTTAGATGCAAAAGGTAATTGGGACATCACTACTTTGTCTACTCTTGTTTCCAAACAAGACCTCACTGAAATCCTAACGATGCACAGACCCAGATATGTTACCTTCCCTATCTCCTTGCCTGGGCCCCTTCGGAATCTAGTAACTTTACTTGTGCCTCTGCTTTTAAATTCATTACTAATGCTGGGTTAGATCACAGGAACTGGAAATGGGTCTGGAAAATTCCGATCCCACAAAAGCTGAAACTATTTCTCTGGTTGATTTTAAAAGATAGACTATTGACAAACCAGTTAAGATTGGTCAGGAATCTAGCTCCCACTACTGATTGCCCCAGATGTGGCCATCACAGTGAGAACATGGCACATTTGCTCAGAGACTGTGTAATCTCGAAAGAGTTTTGGACCAACATCCAGAATATTACTTGGTGGGAAGAGGGCCAGAAATTGCCTCTACCTGAATGGGTTATTGTGAATATCAAAAGCAAAAAATTCTTTTATGGGAAAAAATGGTACCTTGTTTTCATTGTTACTCTATGGCATATTTGGAAAGACCGAAACAAACTGATTTTTGACAATCTGTCCAACCCACTTCAGCTCAATCTTAAGAACATCTTCCAATATGTCCAAGAGATTGAGGAGGCCTTTCTATCCCCTCTCTGCCCATCCCCTGCAATTCCTAATCTAATTCATTGGTGTTGCCCAACTGCAGGTAAACTAAAGCTCAATACTGATGGATGTTCGAAAGGCAACCCAGGACAAGCCGGCTATGGGGGACTGCTGCGAGATGAAACTGGTAATTGGGTTTGGGGATACTATGGAAAGCTCGGACATTGCTCCAGCTTGGAGGCAGAGATTTGGGCCATTTACCGAGGCTTGACCATACTCTTTCAGAAAGGATCTAGAGATGTACAAATTGAATCTGATTCTGCCCAGGCAATCAACCAAATTCTGCATGGTCCAGACCATAATTCCCCATATAAAGCTCTCATCAAAGATGCCAAGTTCCTACTTAGAAGAAGCAACAGCTCTCTTCAGCACACCCTGCGTGAGGGAAACAAAGCTGCTGACCTCCTAGCTAACTTGGGAGTGGATCAAAATGAACATGTTGTTTTTCTTGACAACCCCCCACCTGAAATTACTACTTTCCTTATTGAAGACATGACTGGAGCTAGTGTTGAGAGGGACTAGCCCTCTGTTTGCTGTATCTGAACTTCTTTCTTGTTCTATGTTTCTTATGAATCTAAAAAAAAAAAAAAAAAAAAAAAAAAGAAATATGATTTGAGAATAGAATTATATTTTGAGTTTGTAAGTTTTGGAATTATGATTTGAGCGTGAAAAATTTGTTTAGTTATGAGTTTTAAGTGATGTGACATATAATATTGAAAATTTGGTGTTTTGAAAAATGGGTGTGAAATTAATTTTCTAAAGCTGTAACCAAACAATACACTCAAACTAAGGGGTAGAATTAAATTTCAAAAGTCCCACCAAACAGAGCCTAATTTTTAAAAACTCTAAACAAACAAGACACTCAAAACAAAGGGTGGAAATATGTTTGTAGAAGCTAACCAAACACAGCCTAAGTTTCTCAATCTCAAGTATTCTACAACTTTTTATTAAATAAATCAGAATGCTTGAGCGTAAAAGATTAACCAGTGCACAACAGTCGAGGTTTTCAATTTTATTCTTCCATATATTTAACTAAACATATGGGAATATTATAATGAGATGTAGTAATTAAGGCTAACAAGTAAAGCACAAGATTCTATATTATTTTCAGAAAATATTACGTGTTGATGATTATTTGTTAATTGCATATATGGAGAAGTATTAAATAAAGGATATCTTTGAGCCAGTGAGTTCTAAAATAAGAAAATCACATGAATGAAATCCACAATAAGACAATGAACAAATGTACAAACTAATTATGGTTAACAACAAAAATGTTAGTATCCTTTTGGGGTAACTACTTGAAACATCCAATGGAAAAGATGTTCAGAAGACAAGTGTCTCAAAGATGAAAATGGGAACAGCTAAAGGCAACATCAGTAATGATGCCAATAGAAAAGCAGTAAGCAGCCTCAAGAGGGACATAGTTTAAGGGATTGTTCACAGAATACAATAACACCTCCAGGCTCCAGAGATGATTGACAGTAGTTAGAGCTTCATTTTTTTATTTTAGTGTCTTTCTTTGTTTGCAATCTGTGCAAGGAACGTCAAAAGCTGTGATGCACAAGTCGCAAGCCTCACTCTCCAAAGGGGAGAAATAACAAAAAAAAATTCATATGCATACAAATAAACCATCAGACAATATAAATATGGAAGGGGCAAACATAACTGTAACTTACATTTAATAAAATTAGATGCTATGTACTATTAAAAAAAAAAAATTAAAGTTAAAGCTACTTTATGACTTAAGCATACTGTTGGTTTAAAGTAAATGCAAGTAAACCAATCTTTCAGCTGACATGCACAGAAGTTACTTATTTATTTATTTTTGGAGTAACAAGACTTGTCATGTACAGGTAGACCAATTACTGGTCCTACAAGGAGTGTGATGATTGGATCATGTACACGTAGACCAATTACTGGTCCTACAAGGAGTGTGATGATTGGATCATGTACACGTAGACCAATTACTAGTATGACCAAGGAGAAAATGGGTTGAGGTAATAAGAAATGGCAGGCATACCTTAAACTTAACAGAAGATACGATTTCAAATAAAATCAACCAGAGGTAATTGGATCCATGTAGCGGACCCAAAATAATTGGTACAAAGGCTTATCTGAGTTGCGTTGAGTAGAAGATTACCATAAAGGTGATGGCCTTACCTAATACAAGTAACCAGAACAACCTTGCAAAGAGAACCTCTCCATATGAATATCTCTCCTTGTACTGCTTATGTCTCTTTTCTGAGTTTACAACAAGAGGGGAATGGGTGTGCGGAGAGAGAGAAAACATAGAGTAACATATGACTCTTTGAATGAAAAAGTTGAACACAAGTTCCAAATCAATATCATAACCTATTGAGGGACGATTAAAGCTATTGGAAAATTTTCACGGCAGCTATATCACTGACTTATACAGTTACTGGGGGATATTAGGACAATGAATTGTAATTTGTTGGTTGAAAGTTTCACCTGGCGAGGAATATTAGTATCATATGATAGAGTGAAATTCCCTCCCTCAAGATCGATCAAGTTGTCTTTGCAATAATTGTGAAAAACTTTACAAACTGCCATAAGCAAACGCACACCTCCATAGTAACCTTCATTGTCCAACCTATAAACCTGAAAGATAAAAAGTATGAGAAGAACTCATTTCTCATTCTAATTCAAAATCATACGCATGCACAAGCATGAGGAACATCAAAAAACGAGGAATCAAATCCCTACTTTTCGACAAACAATTTTCTCAATTACAGATCTTATGTAATGGAATTCTGATAAATAGAAGAATGTGGAACTTTTACATATCGACGAATGTCTTATTTGATGGGTTTAATGTTATTATTTTGAGGGCGTTACACATAGAGCCTAATCTTTACAGCTGTAACAACCCGAAAATTTAAGTTATCCCTTAAATTTTATACTACTATTATGGTTATATGTGATGATATATTATTAAATAAATAATAATAAATACAGAATCTAATTTTGCATTGGATTATAAAATATAGTATTAATTAGGGATTATTATTTGGGGCCAAATTAATAGAAATATGGCGTTATAATATTAGTTGGGCCAAATTAAAGTTAAAGATAGTAAATAAATAAATATAAAAATATGAGTAAATAAATAAATAAATAAATAATAATAACAACAACAACAACAACAACAACAACAACAATAATAATAATAATAATAATGGGTGTGGTAGTAAAATAAATAAATAATTTTCTGTTGGTATATGATAGAGTGTAATTTAATTAGGGATTAATGTATTTATACAGTTATGTTAGAAAACTGGGCCAAAGTGTAATTATCTTAAATATGTACTAAAGATAAGTACAAATCCATATAAATTATGATCAAATCTGTGGGAGGATTCGCGCTGGCCACGTGTTTGATGAAATCCTTCCTCAGCTGCCTCAAATGGATTGAAGAAACTGAGAAAATTTTCAGGATTTTTTGGATTGTGGTGGTTGTTTAGAAAAAAGAACTTTCTGATCCATTGTAATTCTTGGGAAAAAAGACAAAGATGTAGAGATTGTTACATAACTTTAGAGAGGGAGTGGCTTTTATCGTGAAAGGTAGGTTCATTTTTTTCATATTCTTGACGTTTACCCTAAAAGGTGGGTTCATTTTTTCCATATAAAGTTTGGGTATCAATGTGGAAAGTTTTGACATGCCCATTTCAACTTCATTTCTTTCGTAGTAACTCTCCATAGAAAAGCAAGCAACTCATAGAACCTAATCTTTAAAGCTGTAACAACCTGAAAATTTAAGTTGTCTCTTAAATTTTATACTAGTATTATGGTTGTAAGTGATGATATATTATTAAATAAATAAATAAAAAATACAGAACCAAATTTGGCATTATATTAACAAATATGGGATTAATTAGGGATTATTATTTGTGGCGAGATTAAAAGAAATATGGAATTATAATACTAGTTGGGCCAAATTAAAGTTAAAAATAGTAAATAAATAAATATAAAAGTATGAGTAAATAAATTATAATAATAATAATAATAATAATAATAATAATAATAATAATAAAATAATAATAATGGGTGTCGTAGTAAAATAAATAATTAATTTTCTATTGGTATACGATAGTGTGTAATTTAATTAGAGGTTAATTTATTTATATAGTTATATTAGGAAACTGGGCCAAAGCGTAATTATCTTAAATATTTATTAAAGATAAGTATAAATCCACATAAATTATGATCAAATCTATGGGAGGATTCGCACTGGCCACGTGTTGGATCGAAATCCCGCCTCAGCTGCTGAAAATGGATCAAAGAAACCGAGAAAATTTTGGGGATTTTTTGAATTGTGGTGGTTGTTGAGAAAAAAGAACTTTCTGATCCATTGTAATTCTTAGGAAAAAAGACAGAGATGTAGAGATTGTTACACAACTTTAGAGAAGGAGTGGCTTCTATCGTGAAAGGTAGGTTCATTTTTTCCATATAAAGTTGGGGTATCAATGTGGAAAGTTTCGACATTTCCATTTCAACTTCATTTCCTTCACTAGTAACTGTCCATAGAAAAGCAAGCAATTCATAGAGCCTAATCTTTACAGTTGTAACAACCCGAAAATTTAAGTTGTCCCTTAAATTTTATACTAGTATTATGGTTGTATGTGATGATATATTATTAAATAAATAATAATAAATACAGAATCTAATTTGTCATTGGATTATCAAATATGAGATTAATTAGGGATTATTATTTGGGGACAAATTAATAGATATATGGAATTATAATACAAGTTGGACCAAATTAAAGTTATAGATATTAAATAAATAAATATAAAAGTATGAGTAAATAAATAATAATATTGATGATAACAACAACAACAATAATAATAATAATAATGCGTGTGGTAGTAAAATAATTTTTTGTTAGTATACGATCGAGTGTAATTTAATTAGGGATTAATTTATTTATATAGTTATCTTAGAAAACTGGGCCAAAGTGTAATTACCTTAAATATTTATTAAAGATAAGTACAAATCCATATAAATTATGATCAAATCTGTGGGAGAATTCGCGCTGGCCACGTGTTGGATCGAAATCCCGCCTTAGCTGCCGAAAATGGATCGAAGAAACCGGGAAAATTTTGAGTATTTTTTGGATTGTGGTGGTTGTTGAGAAAAAAGAACTTTCTGATCCATTGTAATTTTTCGAAAAAAAGACAGAGATGTAAAGATTGTTACAAAACTTTAGAGAGGGAGTGACTTTTATCGTCAAAGGTAGGTTCATTTTTTCCATATTCTTGGTGTTTACCCTAAAAGGTAGGTTCATTTTTTTCATATAAAGTTGGGGTATCAATGTGGAAAGTTTAGACATTTCCATTTCAATTTCATTTCCTTCACTAGTAACTCTCCATAGAAAAGCAAGCAATTCATAGAGCCTAATCTTTACAGCTGTAGCAACCCGAAAATTTTTGTTATCCCTTAAATTTTATACTACTATCATTGTAATGACTCGGATTTTAATTCGCATTGGATTGATGTAAAGTGGTGCCCGCCACCTTAAAACTTGTGCGGTTGCCAGATTCTTGATATTGATGGGTTGGCAAGTGAACTTTAAATATTATAATTGAGGACCCTTGGGTGATGTTTGGAACCTGGATTGAAGCCTTAACAAGCTATTTAGGTAAGATTAGATAAAAAAAACCCCAAGTTTGAGTTTGAGTTTTTGGACCAGCCATCACTCTTTTGCCCTTTTCTCCTTCCATGCTTTGAATTTGAATGTGAGGCTTGAACCATTTGAAATATTTTTTCTGGGGCTTCAATTTGGACACAAGAATGACCTAAAACGGAGTCCGAACGAAAGAGTTACACCTGTTTGAATTTTGAGTTTCTCTGTTGAAAGCATTCTCGCTCGAGCGAGCTTTTCTTAGCTCGAGCGACCAAGTCGCTAACAGACAGTGTAAAGTGATATTTTGACCCAAAAACTTCATTTTTTTCATCCTCTCTTCTTCTCCCCTCCTCCATGTCCGAAACCCTAGCCCCCAAAACTTTGATATCATCCATTCTTAGCAACAATCCACCATGGATCTTGCATCAAGGTTCAAGAACAAGCAAGGATCAAGGCGTTGATCGATTATTTTGGGGATTTCATTGAAGTTTGAAAATGGGTCTTCACCCATAACTTCCAATGTTGAGGTAGGGGTCCTAGTTCTCTTTCAATGTTTACATTAATAGATTAGATTTGTGGTATTTTGGATTATATAAATGCAAAATCTACGTTTTGAGCATATAGTGTTAAATCATGAAATTTTGGGGTTAGGGTTTGAAATGTTGGGGTTCTATTATTGGGTTTAAATTATGGATTATGGGCCTAGGGTGTATAATCAATGGGAAAATTGGAATAAAAAGTAAAGGTTTAAGAAGTTTAAATTTTTTCTTGAAATTCTAGATTTTTCTTGAAAACCCTAAGTTGATTCATGATGATAAATAATGAGTTTTCCCAAATTGAAAGTAGAACCATGAAATTGAGGTATTGAATTGTATATATACAAGTTTAATTGAATCTTGGAAGTGTTTGAAAATCATGTTAAAAATTAGCGATTAAACCTTATTTATGGATATTGAAAATCATGCTATGATATGAAATGAAATTTGGGAAAAAGGATTAGTAAATGATGTGGATAACATGAGCCTTGGGATGAAATGATGAAATGAAAATTTAAGAGTACACCTTGAATTATGTTGAATTATATTTAGTGGTGTTGAGTTAAAATATGTTGAATTGTGGCGATTATGTAGAATCGTATTGATTATATTGAAGTGTATGTTGAATTCTGTAGACTATGTTGAATTGTGTTAAATTAAGTTGAGTTGTGTTGGGTTGTATTAAGTTTTGGCTAATATAAGAAGGGAGTTTTGCCCTAATCGGATCAAATTGTCATTTTGTATAAATAATTGAAATTGTCATTGTAAATGTGAAATCGGGGGATTATTAATGGTGATGGTGGAGCTTGATATGCATTATCACTCCCACATGAGATTTTGGAAAAGCTTATCTTTAAAGGAATTTATTTATCAGTTTGGATATATTTGTTTTGAGCTATCGGTGGAGAATAGCTATGGTTGTTCTAGAAATTGCATGTTGACTAGGCAAACCGGACTATTTATATATCATGCATATCATGGAGCACGCAATGAATTTTGAGGATTTAAACTGTATGTTTTGGAAAAATATTTTGGAAATTCTTGTGCTATGTTTTTAGTGCACTTGTTTCATTATGAAAAATCATGTTTTGGATCACATGTATTGTGCTAGTTGAAAAGAGTAAATAATATGATAAGTCTGAGAA